TATCTCCCAGATTTTCTCTTGTTGGTGGAGACCCTGGTTTCTGGAAATTTCAATATCGATCTTGGCACCACATGACAGCTTCCTGTCGTCAGAGGGCTACCTATACTTTCTGGTGACAACTGCTGTGTGTTGTCATGTAATCTGAAATAATCAGCCAGACCAACCATTTATTATATGCTAATGTTTGCTAAAAAGATAACAAATGTTCTCTTTTCCTAAGTGAAACCATACTCATTTATTTATTCCTTCAACATACAGTTACTGAAGTGCATAGAAATGCCCAGTGTCCATGAAGAAGATAGAAATAATATCCCTGCACTTGAGGATTGTTTCAACTTCAATGATCTATTATGTAACAATAAGTACTGGGGATCAGGGACTCTAGAGTACCCAAGAGACAGGCAGTGACATGATCATTTCTCAGGTCACTTGACAGTGGATCACACTAGTGTGTGACTTCTCTGCCCTGGGTGAGATAAAGCTGAGGCTGCCTGACGGAAAAGAGGCCATGTCATTCTACTGAAGGTACAAAAGCACTGCAAGTGTAGTGTACTGTGGTTGGTTTCCTGTGAAAAGTCAGATAGGTTCCATCTTGCAATTTGGATGAATGGAGAGGGGTGTGATCTTCTGGAAGAAGAATTGGAATATGGAGGACCTTGAATTTATTTTTATCATTAGGGTGGTGGCTTAAAAGAGCTGCAGGTGGTGGTGGATTTCTTCTCTGGGACATGTGCATGGTTCCCAGGACCCTGAATAAGAGATGGTGACCCAGAGGGTCCTGTCATACTGCCAGTAACCAACGGTCTGTGGGGAGGAGAAAACAACTGTTCCAGGAAGAGTAGCCTCACTCCTGTTAATAATAATGTTTCCTAGGATAGATATTACAGGCCAATTCAACAATGACTTACAAGATTCTCATGCATTAATAACCACAGTGGCTCAGGCTAAATCTCAATTTAGGCTGTACTAGAGTCACCTTTGGAAAATGACATTACCTGAATCCCACTCTAAACAAAATGTTGATTTAAGTGTTCTGAATTATGACTTAAACATTAGAATTGTTAAATAGTCTCCAGATGCTTTTCATACATAAGCTACTCGTTATATGATTTAAGGAGAGTGCCAATGCCTAAGCCCCACCCAGATCAATTGATCAGAATTTCAGACATTGGAACCAGGGACGTTATTACTTTACATGCTCTCCTATGACAATTCAAGTGTGCAGATGGGCTGAGAAAGAAAGAGCCAAAGGGATAAGAGTCTGGTCTTGATTAAAAGATTGGGGGTGCAAGATTCTTATGTACTGGTTATGTTTGTTATTTCCTTGTCCTTCTGGGAAGAGGGTTGCCACTTTCTGGAGAGTGAGAAGGACTGTGAGTCCCTACAGTGGAGAGAAGGAAATTGTCTCAGGCCTCCATGATGGAGCAGTCTCAGTCTCCATTGTGCATGTGATTCAAGATTCTCCCCAGAACATGGAATGGAAGCTCTTGACAAGATGTCCCTTGGTGACGCATGTACCGGCTCACAGTGTCTGCGGTGTTTGGATGAGATACGAGACAAATTCACATGGACTCCCAAGTTCTGTGGAGGAAAAGGGATGGGATGGCTACTCTCTCAAGGGGAGAGCGTGCCAAGCCTTGCCTTGACGAGATTTTATTGGGTTCAATTTATACAAGAATACAGGTAAGGTTCATTAATCATTGTCAGGCAGTAAGGATCAAACAACAAATAGCATACAAAGAACTTCAAGGGTTTATTCTGAGTCAGGGTCTGTTAGCTAAAGGGCTACAAAACTTTGGGGAACAAAACCATTTCCTGCCTAGACAAGTATCATTTAATTGAGAACATTCTTAGCAAAGCAGGTTTCACAGGATTTTATGTATTTTTTTTTATTTTAATCATTGTTCAAGTACAGTTTTCTCCCTTTTACTCCCATTCCAGCCCACCCACCGAACCCTCCCCACTTCCTCCCATTGGATTTTATGTATTCTTTCTTAGGCTTGCTCACCTGCCCTTTCCAGCATAGGGTGGCACCACCCTGTCTCATTGTTTCAGGCATAAGTCAACCAGGGGCAAGTGAGGCAGCCAAGAGATTAGGAGTCTTCTCACAGACAGAATGAGGACTCAGGCTATGTCAAAGCCGAAGGGTAAGGGTCCATCACCAGCTTTTGCTATAGCCCCCCAAGTCCTTCCTTGGGTTCTCCCCATGATAGTGCCTGTCTTAGGTCGTTGCCCCCTTTGGGAAATCTTACCCGTCATTGCCTAACCCACCAAGCATTGGGCGCCAGGCAGGGTAAAGAAAAAGGAGCAGAAGCAGGGCCCCTCCCAGGAGATAAGCTTTGTCTCCTTAGTGGCTTATGGTCTGAAAGGTCACTCACTCAGCCTTAGCCATGGGGTGCTTACAGCTTCTGAAACCAGGCAGGGTAGTTCCCAACATCCTTGGTTCTTGCACTTTCTCATATATGGACATATTTTAAATTAAAAGAAATGACCAAAGTCCTGATTCCCCCCAAGTGAAGACTATTTATCCCAAATCCCTAAACAAGATTCAAAATACATCTTAGTGGCTTTTTATCTTTATTACTTCCTACATTAAGAGAAATAACATGGCTGTGTACCAAATTACTCTTACTCTGCCCATTGGCTTCAAGAAGGACCTTTCTGTTCTTTGTGTACTGTGGTTGTTTGGTTCATTAGGGTCTCAGCATCCCTGTTTGCCATGGACCCTGCAGAGACAATGGAACCAACACTGGAAGCTTAAAAATTACTGTGAGAAGGAGTGGGGAGTTTTTATTTGCAATAAGAAAAAGTGTATAGACCCAGGTTGGATTCTCAGGTTTTCTGTGGAAGTTGTAGTTTTATGAAATGGAAGCATCAAGAAAGAACAGGTAGTGGATGTGGGGGACAAGAGAATACATTCAGTTTTGACTGCATGAGTTTGGGGTGTGATCCAAGGGCCCAGGAGAAGATGCTGGGTGAACACAGGGATGTGCACAAAGGCAGGAGACAGGCTGGACAGCTGGGAGCTGGCGACATAGCAATAGAACTGCAGCTTTGAAAGTGATTGGATCATCTGGGGCCATTCAAATGGCCAATGATTGGAACCTGAGGGATTCTGTGTAAATGTTGGAGGAGGACAAGGATGGCAAGGGAAAGTGATACAGCAGTGAGTCTGAGGGAGTAATCCCAGGAGAAAAATGGCACAGAATGCATGTGTTTCGAGAAAGCAGAAGTAGTCAAAGTACACAAGGGTGGAAGTTGTCATCCTTGCCTCCTCCTGTTCCTCAACAGCCCACTTCCCTCCACCCAGCACTCATCAATGTGAGGGGCCAGTCTCCAAACCAATCACATTTATGTCACCTCAGATGGTCACAGAAGGGGAGGAATTTCTCCACCCTGGGATAGATAGGATGTTTCTATCTGGGATAGAATAACCCTCCAGTGATTCTCAAACTACCTGGGTTTTCTCAGAAGGCAGAACCAAGAAAGCAAAAGAGGCTCGTATCATTCCTGATTGATCCACACTCATATGTAATTACTGACTTTTCGTTTTAAAAGCGTACTACAAAGTGTTTTTTTTGTTGTTGCAATCACCTCCTGTTCATCCTATTGATGAGGGTGGGATGTCCACCAGACATTTGAGAGATGGGAAGTAATGGCATCTGTCACTGCACAGATGGGTTGACCGGGTGTTATTAGTCATGTCTACTCCCAGACCAAGGAAGAAGGGCAGAGCCAGACCCACAGGCCTCACTAAGGTTTCCCTGCATAGCTGAGTAGACAACCAGGGGCTGGGAGGGTGAGGGGGGATCCCATGTTTCCATAGGAGGCTGTGGCTGGTCTATGTGAAAAAATTCCATGGCTGACAGAGAACTGAAACCTGATGTTCCAACATGGGCAGGTCAGTGGTAGTCCCTTAACAAGGAGCATTATTTAGCTGTGGGACCCTGTCCAGGACAGCAGGGTGGGTAGAGGCACATGCACACAGGCCCTCTAAGACCATCTCAATGTTACCAGATGTCACAGCAGCACCTGACAGTGAGCTTTAATATTAGTCCTTACACTGTGCTTCCTTCATTAAGAAAGAGCTCAGCCACAGGCCAGGTCTTTGCCATGAACCCACGTGTTTGTATATAATACAGTGTATCTTCATATCTGCTCTGTAAATTTAATTGGGTTTAATGGGAAGGAGTTGTACTACAAGACTTGGATGCAAATGCTGTCAAATTTTATCTTCTCCAAATACAATGAAATGTAGTTATTTATATTGAGACAGGTAACACTACAGTTTTAGTTGAGTACTTTAGTGGGGGAAAGAAGACCTTCACATTGTTTATGCAACAATGCAATTGTTACTGCCTGGCCACAGAGAGATGGAGCCTCCACACCTTACATGCCAAGCTGAGTCATGGGGCATCTTCCTCAGGCTTTTAGAGCCAAAGGCCTCCATCCTCCCAGGTACCACCTGGCCATGTGTCATGGTCTTTCCAACCCAAAGGCAGTGCCACAGGCCCTGGGTCCCTCTGGGCAGTGAATCTACAGTCCAGGAAGCCCTAACAGGCCATTCAACTCATGGAAGCCGACAGCCAAGAATACAGGATGCAGTGCTTTCTCAAATGTTTATTCCATCTTATTAGTTTCTCAACATACCCCTTTTCCAACAGTAATGTTAGTCACTGTGGTGTAAGCAAATGGATTTAACACTTTATTTCAGAACCTCATTCTATCTGCAAGGTAATGAGATGATTCAGATTCTTATGAAATCATCCTCTTGTTTTGTTGCCTGTGGTTCTGTGTTAGGATCTCTGGTTTAACAGAAAAAAACGTCTCCAGTCTGGTCACAAAAGCTTCTCTTGAACTTCACAGCAGAACAAGAATCTTTCTTCTGAAATCCCCCATTTTGTGCTCTCCTTCACAGCTCAGTGAAACACAGAGGAGTCCCTGAAGGTTCGCACAAAGGCCATGAGTCCTAGATTCCCACAGTGCTGGTTGTCAGAAGCTCATGGGGATGTGGTCATTGTTTTATCTTCTAGGTGGAAAACTCAGGCAAATGTGTAATCTGCCAGGATGGAGGAAAGCTCGTTGGCTGTGGTACTTGTCCCAGAGTCTTTCATGAGGGCTGTCACCTCCCACCTGTGGAGACTAGAAGGTTTGTGAGATGCAGACCCCTTCTCTCATTTTATAGACCCTTCTTCCTGCAATGCTCACTCCCCTCTGCGGGATTCTTCCTTGTGTCCTGATGGGGACAGAGCTGGGCTGGAGGTACAGGGGTCAGCAGTATGATCCCAGGAGCTGTTGAAAGATGCTGGCAGCAGGAGGGAAACATCCTCTAGCCTCTGGGAGGCTGAGGCCAATGGCTGGGTCCTTTGCCTTCATAATGTCACTGTCCTTTCCAGAACTCTCCCAGCACAAACCCCTTTTTTATAGAAGTGGAAATGCCAGCTCTTTGTGTTTTGTGTTTATTTAGAAAAGGAAGGATACATGGTCTGGTTTCCTCATTGTGCATGTTCTCAACAGGCTAATGGAAGCCTGAGGCCTCCAGGAGTTAGGGCACAGTTTCAAGCACTCTGGTCTGGTGGGTAGTGTTCCTGGTGCTCTCAGCCGCTCAGATGGGGAAAGGAGAACCCACCACTCACCCTGACACTACCCTCCATCCACTTACCCTCTATGACTACCCTCTATGGGAGGAGGGTCATCACATAAAAATTGTAGAGAGCCTGAGAAGTGTATCCATCCTTCTTGTTTGCCTACTGGCCATTCGTGAAAGGAGAACAGTGGTAGCCATAGTGATAGTGACAGTTTCTGGTCCTTTCCTTGCTCATTTATATCTGACATCTCAGGAATGCTTGGAAGTGCACATACTGCACAATAGGAAATCCTCCAAGCCAGCAACATGACAGTGAATCTGAAGTCCTGGTGAAGGTTATGGGGTCTGAAGAGAAGCTGGTAAGTTGAATTTGAACCTTAAGCATTCTCCTTTCTCCTCACATGTAAGAAGTCCATCAATCACAGGTTGAGGGGGTGGATGCCAAGTGGTACCTAGTTTTCTGATAGCACCTCAACCATGCTGCAAACTCACCAGACCTGTTTGCAGGAAAATACTCAGCCATTACCTGTTAGTGTCCAAGAGCAATACCAGTTTGGGGAAACTTCCAGAAGACTGGGGTAGGCATGCGTGTGTCTGGACATGCCTATGGGCTCATTCTCTCCAAGCTCTTTTTTAATTCACTGCCTTTTTCTTTTGCAGAAATGTGCGTTCCTCCTCTTAAATGTCTATGGCCCTTTAGAGAGCAAAGTTTTCCCAAATATTCCACATGAAAATTATGTGAGTAACAACAACAAATCATCAATACAGGCTACCATAATGTTATCTGACCTTGACACGGGTTCTTGTGGGATTTGTGATCTGAAGTCCCCGGGAGAGAAAACATGAGCTGCCTGTATCTTCACCTTGGATTTCTGCTGGATTTGATGGGAATATTTCATAGTGCAATAGGCAGCCATTGCACTATGTCAGTAACTCTCTTATTGATATATTTCTCACCAGGTTGAAGAGGCTTCTCGATGTCTAAAGAAACTTAGGAAGTTGGACGAAATCAAGGAGAAACTAAATAAGGGAGACTACGCCCGTGTGGGATATTTTGTTCTGGCCATGAATGAATTCTTTACTATCCCCAGTGTAAGTGGCTCCCCTGTTTCCATTTCATTTTCCTCCCATTAAGTCACTCTGCCTTCATTTCCTGGTGCTGGGAAATTTTAGAGTTTCTCTCATCGTATGAAAGGCCATATAAGCAAGGGTTCAGGAAGTGAGTAAGTTTTAAAATTCAGGATTTATGCTCACCAGGGAGAGTAACAGTTAGTCAGAAGGTTTCTCTGTAACCAGAACCCCAGTCCCCTGAGGGTTCATTCCCCTCTGAAACGGTGTCACGTGCGCACAGAGAACAGTCACTTCCTTCTGCTCCAAACCTAAGGAGAGAATTTTGCCCTAAAGTCATTCTGTTGTTCTTGCCTCTCCCCAAATATACTCACTCAGAACTCTCAGGGATCCCAAACTACAGAGTCCTTTGCATGTGAATGGACTATATACTTAACAGGGGGACTCAAGAGGGGAATAGAAGTGACAAGGTGAAAGGAAGGTTACTGGTTGTACATAGACATCTGTGATATTTGATTGTTACTAAGATCTTAGATTACTTTTCTAATTCTCACTGAAAGAGACAACCCAAACCTAATGAGTAAGAGTCCTCCAGTGTAGTAATGATTTCCCATTTCTGTCTAGTCAGCTAGAAGTAATCATGTTCTTAGGAAACAAGTTACTCTTAGATGCATGTGTTTTTAGACTTAACCTGGTTAAGAGTCCCTGTCATTGTCAGTTGCAAGGTATCTAAGGACACTGATAATGAGTGCTATTATCTTTGTTTTTTTTTCTAGTGCAATGATGCAGAATTCACTAAGGATGATTTTAAGAAGACTTTCAAAAAACAGTTTGCTATTCAGGAGACAAATTAGAACAGTGCACTGATGTAGTTGATGCTGTTCGCATCTTGAAAAGTCCTACTTTCAGGCAGATTTCTTTTTTTTCTTCCATTGTTGTTCAAGTACAGTTTTCTTCCTTGCCCTCACCCCTTTCCACCACCCCAGCTCCCCCACCTCCTTCCCCTGGTTCCACCCTGCCTTGTTATTGTCCATGTGTCCTTTATAGTTGTTCCTGTAAAACCTTCACCCTTTTCTCCCATTATCCCTTCCCCTGTCCCTTCTGATCACTGTCAGCCTGTTCTCAATTTCAGTGCGTTTGGTTATATTTTGCTTGCTTGTTCCTTTTGTTGATTAGGTTCCAATTAAAGGTGAGATCATACGGTATTTGTCTTTCACCATCAGGCAGATTTCTTATGCCCTGGCAACTATGTGGGTTGGCTGCCATGCCACCTCTCCCCAGGGTATTGCTTTGGGCAAATGGAACCATAATCACCTGAAAGTTACATCTCTTTGGCCTGGGGGTTGGTCCCCATCCCCAAAGATGAACCAACTATGTGCAGTGATTGTGTTCCCATGCCCCCAGGGATTCAGGCTAGAGCTATTGTCCCGCTGAGAGCACATCCTTACTTAGCTTTCCCCTCCATGGTATCCAGCTTCCCTTACCCTCTTCCTCCCAAGAGAATTCTCACAATAAATTACTTATTCAAGAGACTTTATCTCAGGCTTTGCTTTTAGGGAACCCACCTTAACACAATGGTCTTAGCAAGCCAGTCCTAGGCATGGACTAGGCCAATACTTGCCCCATAGTCTGTGGATGGAAATGAGGGCAGTTCTTACAAGAAAGGAGTGTGCAGATTGTACACAGTAACAATTTCCTGAGTTCTCCAGCAAGGAGACCTATGGCAAATTATTCAAATAGCCAAATGCATGATAAAGAAAATACACAGAAATATTAAGAGTTTTTAATAGAGTGTCTCAGTTGATATCTAGGAGCCCAAAACATCATAACGGCCCCTGTTAGAAGACATTTATGAAAGTAAGGTGATGTCCATCTAACAGTGAGTCCACTCAATCCATGGAACCACCCAGCAGTCATCTCCCATGATTTCAAATGTATAATAAGGACACACATAGCAGTTGGCCAACCTGGTTTTTTACCCTATCATTTCTTAACCTAGGAAATAACAACTGTCCAAGGGAAGGCCAGATGGAAGGCTCTGAAACGGAAGTATTCTTTGGTGAAAATAGTAAGTTGAAGGCAATATCGTACCCCCTGGAAAAGGAGGGAATGATATAGGTTGGTGCCACCTGCAAAGATTTAAGGAGGCAAAGGTTGTAATCCCCATTCCATGTCCATGTGATTCAGCAGTCTGGCTTAAGCAAAAAGCTAGGTGATTTCTCGCTACTAGATGACTAATAGAAATGTGAGCAAAGGGGGAGCCTTTTAGCACCCAGAACTCAGGACTGGGTGGACTGCATCCTGCTTGTAGAAGTCCTTTAAGACAGAGCCCAATGACTGGTCTGCTCTTCTGCTCTTCAAAGCTACTCATACTGTAGCAGGAAAAGAAACCCCCCCATGAAAAAGTTTCTATGCTCTGTAACACTTGCAAATAGGTAAGGAGCCGTCACCAAGGCAATGGCCAGTCATCTCAAGGTCATACACTAACTCCCATGATAAGCTCCTGTGCTCTGTAGCTTCTGCAAATTTTTCCTCCTGCATTTTGCTCCTTTGTCTCCCATATGAGGTAACTAGACCTAACTTCTGCATTTAGCTTCTGTAACTTTGCTTCACCACATAGGCAGGAAGCCTGGGACTATTTAAACCGCAGGAAAATAAAAAATCGGGGCTCAGGATTTTGGGAAATTAACACCTCCCCCTTGAGCCCATGTGCATAATAAAGTTTGTGCTTCATTATCTCCCTAAGTGTGAAAGTGATTTTCTGCAACAATACCATCTGACCAGAGAGCTCAGTTGGCAGTTTTACCTGAATTGGGTCCCTAGTCACACTGTACCAACCATAGAGCCCATTCTACTACCCAGGCCAATCAGAGAAGCATATTTGCAGGCCCACTCAACTGTTGAGTATAGTTCTAGTCCTGGCCATTTTGAAGGCTTTGCCAGAGAACCCTGGCAGCCTTGACAGCAAGCCTATGGTTCAGCTGATATGTGGAGCCAGGTCTATAATTCTTTCTAGCAAGACAGCCCAGGCTATGACCCTGTCCAATTGACTAACACAGACTGTGGCCTCACCCATTCATGGAGCTAGTCAATGAGCCCACACAATCATAGAGCACAGTTTGTAACCCATCCAATGAGGGAGACAGGAGAGTGATTCTGCCCACCTGTGTAACAGTCTCTATCCCCACCCAACTGTAGGATGGAGCTGGAGGCCTCTCCCAACTAGAAAATCTTGCCAATAACCACATCCAATAGCAGAGCACCGCTAGCAATTTATGGTAACTTATTTTGTAGCCCAGCCTGTAACCTGGCCAACTTCAGGAAACAACCATTGGCCTCACCAGATCTCAGATCACATTTCAACACCCACTATGACTATGAAGCTCTCCTTGTTGCCTCAACTGAACATGAAATCCAGCTAGAGGCACCATCAAGCTAGGGAACATGGTCTGAAACTCCACCCACACAGGAGCCATTGTAAAGCCCAGCTTGTAATCCCGACCATTTTCAGAGTCCTACAAGGCACTACCATACCATGAAACAATCTGAAACGTCACCCAAATATAGGTGATTGCTAAGCCCATCTAGCCTCAGAGCACAGCTAGCAGCCTGACTTGATCAGGGGAGCCCAATCAGCAGAGCCACCAAAACACAGTTCAGCCAGCTTCCAGTCACCACCTTCAGAGCACAGGCAATGGCCTTCCCAACAAAGACCCTGATAACTTTCCCCACCTCCCTATGGATCTTATCATCTCCCTGTCCTGTGTTCCAAACTGAGCTGACTAATGAAACCATTTTTTTTGGTGAAGAAAGTCTGTAAATTTGGGAAAAGGAGACCGCTTAATTATATGCACTGATACCAACACAGGAATGAAATTTTTAGGTAAACATGGCAGTGCAAAAGAAAACTAATAAACTATAATAACTACCCTAAAACATGGAAATCTATAAACTGCCTGACAAAAAATTTAGAAGAATCCTCTTAAAGAAGTTAATGAAGTACAAGATCCCACAGACAGCTAACTAAATGAAAAAATGAGAAATTTAACAAAAAAAAGAAATTACAAAAGAACACCAAAAATCCTACAATGAAGCAAACATTAAATGCACGGAAGTACTTAATAGTAAGCTGTGACAGCAGACCCAGTCAAGCAGGGGAAAGAGTCAGGGAACTACAAGAAAGGTTATTTAAAATTATGCAGTCAGAGGAGCAAGCCAAAGAGCTAAAAAAGTGAAAAATGCCTACAGGACTTATAAGACATTAATAAGAAAACTATATTAGCATTATGGGAATCCCAGAAGGAGAAGAGTAAAAGAAATGTAAAGTGTGTTTAAAACAATAATGGTGGAAAATTTACCATGCATGGAGCAAAATGGACTTTCAGTTCCATGAAGCCCAATAGACCCAATAGGGAGAAGCTGAAAAGGGCAACCCACACACACTTTGTGGGTTCAAAGTCAAAGACAGAGAGAGGATTTTAAAGGTAGCAAGACAAAAGTGACTTGTGAAAAACTCACATAAGAACATTAGTGGATTTCTCAATACAAATTTTCAGGCAGGAGAAAGAGGAATGATATATTCAATACACTGAAAGAAAAAATCCATCAACTAAATATAGTACCCAGCAAAGTTGTCCTTAGGAAATAAAGGAGAAGTAGACTTTCCCAAACAAACTGGAACTGAACGCATTCATCACCAGTAGACCTGTCTTATGAGAAAAGTTAAAGGGCTTCCTTTAAGCTAAAATAAAAGGATGTTAATTAATGTCAGAAAAACATATCAGTGAATAAAACTTCCTGTGACTGTAAATATACAGTTGAAGTCAGATTCTCTGATATTGTAATGGTGTTATATAATCCATTACAACTATACTTTAAAAGTTAAAAAAAACAACTGTATTAAAAATATCCAGAACTATAATAATTCATTATTGGGTACACAATGTTAAAAAGATGTAGCCTTGACTTGTGTGATTCAGTTGGTTGAAACATCATGCCATGAATGGAAAAAGTTGCAGGTTTGGTTCCCCCCAGGGCAGATGCCTATGTTGCAGGTTTGGTCCCAGTCAGGGTACATACGAGAGGCTACAGATTGATGTTTCTCTCTCACATCATTGTTTCTATCCCACATCTATTTCTTTCTCTCTCTCTGCCTCTCATCACGTCAATTGACATATCCTCAGTTGAGGATAAAAAAAAGTAAATTCTGATCTCTATAATCTAAATATAAGTGGGGAGAAGTAAAACTATAAAGTTTCTTTATGTTATCAAATTCAAGTTGTTATCAGCTTAAAATAAAAATTACAAATACATGATATTTTATTAAGCATCATGCTAACCACAAAGCAAAAACCTGTAGCACATACTCCAAAGATTATGGTATATGAGACAAAGTATATTGCCACAAATGAGCAAATCACAAAAGAGGACAGTAAGAAAGCCAGGAACAATGTCTGTACAAAAAACAATAAGACAAGAATGAATAATAGTGGAGAAGTTTAATACCCCACTGTCAACAGTGGCTAGATCATTGAGAATTAATAAGAAAACCTCAGATATGAATGACACTACAGCCCAAATGAACCTAAGAGATATATACAGAAGATTTCATCCAACAGTAACAGAATACACATTTTCCTTAAGGAGACACAAACATCTTCTGGGATAAATTATATGTTAGGCAACAAATAAGTCTCAACACATTCAAGAAGACAAAAAATTATATTGTGTCTTTTCCAACCATGATGTTATAAAACTAGAAATCAGTAACAAGAGAAAAGTTGGGAAATTCACAAATACATTGAAATGCAATCCCTATCATGATTCCAATGGGTCACTTTACAGTAATAAAAAAAATCTTAAAATTCTTATGAGCCACATAAGATGCAGAATAGTCAAAGGGATTTTGAGAATGGCAAGCAAAGCTGTAGGCATCACATTTCCTGAATCAAACTATATTTCAAAACTCTAGCAAGCAAAATAGTATGGTCCTGGTATTAA